TAAGAAATTCCATCGAACGCTGGAGTTGCTGGAATTGCTGGTTCGACCGAGCGAAACAGCGTCTGGAGTGCGAAGGGTTAAAAGCGAAAACTTTCCACCGCCGATATTGTTCGGCAATCGCGACGAGTTTTCTTATTTTTCCCCCTTTTCTCCCCGCAGCGCTATCGAATCGAGTCGAAAGTTTCGCGAAACAACCGAGTCGCACATATCCTTACCTATCCACTATTTTATTACTATTTTAGCAGCCTCCTATTTCCCATTTCCTTGAATTTCAAATTTCAACCTTCTCTCCTCCTCCTCCTCCTCCCCTCCCTCCAATCACGAATTGCATTCTCTGCAATTCAGAGTCTCAGTGCAATTTTCGCGTCGTCGTATCGCGAGGGGGGAAAAGTCGTTGGAAGGGAGGGGAGGGCGATGAAGGAGAAAGGGAGGAAGGAAGAAAGTGAAGAGGGGAGGGGGAAGTATAAAAACTTGGAAAGCTTTGGAAAACGCGAGAGAAGCTTGGAACGTGTCTGGAAAATGAGAGAAAAATAGGGGGGAGGGAGAGAGGAAATAAAGAAAGTGGAAAAACCACCATTGCGCTGCTCTAAGTCTATCGAGAGAGGAGCTCGATTCCCGCGGCTGTTCGTTTTCCCGCCAACTCGCTTTCAAAGCGGTCGCGGCTTCCGTTTCCTTTTTTTCCTTCCCCCCCTCCTTAGAAATCCATCTTCAGAACGATGTTCATACGGATCCATGCTCAAAGGTATACTTTACAAATGAAAAATCCGAATGCCCGAAATTTTCCACTAAATCGCAAGGGAATTAAGATATTTCCAAGAGCTTATTGTTAATAATATAATAAATAACAATATGGAAAAAGAGATTTCTATTTTCATTCTTTTGCGACACTTGGATTCTAATGTCCGATCTGTAAAGGAGATAACGTAGAGAAGAAGAAAAATTCCTCGAGGATGAGTTGAAGAGAGGGGAGAGGAAGAGAGAGAGGGGAGGGGAGAGTGAAAAGGATGAATTTAGTAATTCAGCAACCGCGGTGGTTTATCGAGAGTCGTGGTGAGATGATGGAACAAGAAAGAAGCAATGGTATGAGTAATGGGGATAGGAAGAGGGTGGAGAATGCGTGAGGAGTGGAAGAGAGAGAGAGAGAGAGAGCAGAGTTCCAGTTGGCACGTAAAAATAGTAATCTCGATTTGGTTTTGCCAATTCAAGAAACAACTGTTTCGTTCAATCCTATTTCTGGAACTCTCGTCAAGAAACTACTCGATTTCGTGCTCTTTCCTTTCTCCCCCCCCTTTCCCTTTTGTCCGATTTGAAAACAAAATGATTTAGATTTTAACTTCTTTCGATCGATTTGTGAAAAATTGCTCGTTCCAATTCCAACGCGGATGAAATTAAAATTTTTGAAAACCTTGAAGTGCCTCCTTTTGCTAAACACTTACCCCTTAACGCATCCGCCGTTGTCGCCAAAAGGCCTTGCAAACTTCTGCTATGATGATGGATCAAGTCGTGAAAATCTGCCCTGGCTTGATGTCTTAATTGTTCTTCGGTGTCCCGGTTGCAGCACATGCCGTTGCAAGTTGCTGGAATAAAATTTGATTGATCTTAATTCATTTCTTAATATATTTAAAAAGTTTAAAATATAGACAAGCTACGTGTAATCGTGCAAAAATTAATACAAATTCAAAATTATATTATAATATAACAATAAATGTTTTCTCCAGTAACAGTGATAAATTAATTTAGCAAAGCTTATTACGTAAATAAATTATACATAAGTAATGATAAATTTTTCTAAAAACAGAAAAAAGAAAAAATAAAACAAATTCTTCTTATCCATGGCTTTTTTAATATATTTAAAAAGTTTAAAATATAGACAAGCTACGTGTAATCGTGTAAAAATTAATACAAATTCAAAATTATATCATTAACAAAAAAATGTTCTCTCCAGCAACTCGATAAATTAATTTAACAAAGCTTATTACGTATAAATTATACATAAGTAAATACATTATTTATGTTACATAAATACATAAGTAATGAGAAATTTTTCTGAAGAAAAAAAATCGTAAAACAAATTCTTCTCATCGAGATGAAGTATGTAATAGAGAAACGTGAAGAACGATTTCAATAATCGTTGCACGTTTCTTTCCACAGGTCAATTCACCGTGACGCGAAAACAGTGTGGGAAGGATATTTTGCGGCCCGCCACCTCTCGTGCAATTACGGAACGAACGAGGAATCGCTCCGATAAAATACGATGGACTAGCATCTATGTCGCAAGGGTCGTGAACGGACAAATGGAACGAGGCTAACGGGATCCTCGAGTGGTCCTGGCTGGCCGTTTCGATAGCTCCTTTCGGCCTCATTCTATATTTTTCATCCATCCTCCACCGTTCCAGTTGTCACCGATCGTTTCGCTTCACGATAAACGGTACAATGCGCCCCATTCTTATCCCTCCCTGCATGTAATTTCATCAATGATCATTTCGCGAAGAAGTTGGTCTATTTTCGATTCTGGATATATCAGTTACGAGAAACCTTGTGCTTTCGAGAATTAAGTAAAACTCGAAATAAAGAGCTTTATCTCGCTTTGATTAATCTATAAGATTGATAAAAATATTTATATTTCGTGGTAAATGAAATATTTAATAAGATATTGGATTGATTAAAAGTTATTTATCAAGATGTGAATGAAAATCTTTTTTTCGAAAGGATTTAAAAAATTGTTAAAAAATGCGAGACAAGATAACACGATAACAATGCTAAGCGTGTTGTAATTTAATCAGACTTGATTAACACGAGAGAAAAAAAAAAAATGCGAATTAGCTTTTACAATCGCGATATACTTTCAGATTTGAAACAGTTGAGTTTATTGTTCAATTGTCGGCAAGTAGAATGGTAGAACGAGTTTAAATTTACTTTTAGTTACAGAACGAAACTAATCTACAATTTTAATCAAATAATGAATTTAATTACGTATAAAATAAAGTCTTGTTAAATTTTGTAAATATAAATATAAAAGTTAATTATACATGTTGATAAGGAATACGTTTTAGATAATAAAAATGTTATAGCTATAAAACGACGTGTAGCGTAACATTGTAATACGCATGCATGCACCTATCGTTACAATATTCGCAAGGACGAGCACCAGACGGTTCTCTCAATTTAATTTCATTTAGGGCCACTTAAACGGTCGCGGTGCAACAACCGCCAAAATGCCACAAGACGACCGCGCACAACGTTCACGAAATTAAAAGACCAGATTGTACCCTCCAAATCGTTTTTGTTCGAGGTATTAAATTTTAACCATTTGTCGCGAATTAAAGTCTTCTCTATCTTTTCACTCTTCATATCCTTGGTATCCACGTAAATAATTGGAGGAATAAAAAAAAATCAAAATAAACATTTCATTTTTTACCATGATGATGTTTTTAAAACGAAATAATTATTCGAAAAAAAAAAAAATTACCAATCGTATAAATTTCACTTGATTAACAATTTTTGAAATGTTTATTTAAAATGTACAATTAACCATGATATTATTATAATTATATCTTGTAATAGTATACGACAGCGATATATGAGAGAACGAAATATTTTGACGGAACGTGAAACGCATTTGAAACGACCAAGCTCCATTATTTATCTCTACTGATCGAATTATTCGCAAACTAAAAACTATAAATTAGTGCGCATGCTTGAAAGATATCTAACCTCTGGTCGAGAAGCGTCGAACAATAGAAGGACGATGAATCGTGAAAAATCGTGGCGGAAAACGTGGGAGAAGATTTTTTTTTCTCTCCGATACCTGTTCATTCTGACTGGTACTACCTAGGTACACTCTTAGTGCCGAATACAAAAGGAAAAAATGAAAGAAAAAGAAAAGAAAAAAAAAAGGAACATCCAGGGACGATGTGATCTACTGTGACGAGAAACATTACGATTCGAAGAGAAAACGAAGACGTTTGATTTTTCTGCGAGCAAAAAGTTGTATGTTTATTCTTCTAAAAATAACGCGATTAGGAATAAGCGAAACGCGACAAATTGAACATGTAGTGAAAATATGGATTTATCGGTCGAGTTTTCGCAATAATTTGCGATATTGATACGCAATGTTAAGAAGTCTTTATTTCAATTGCACAGAGACGCATTTTTTATTTATATCGAAAAATTAAATGAAATTATTATTATAAAAAATCAACATATTATAATTTTAAAATTTGCAATTTCCTTATTCATCAATTCGATGTAAATTGTCAAGCGCGTTCAATTTTCTTTCTTCCTTTTTTTATCCGCAGATAAAAATAAAAATAATATAATATTATGAAATATTCTCGCGATCATTTCTTTCTCTGAATTTTACGAACGAACGTGGTAATGAATTTCAGCATCGCGAAACACATAATACATATATAACTCATGTCATAACTCGTTGTTGTTTGCATTGGCGAATTAATATGAAAAAAGAAACGAAAAAGAAGATTATCATAAGCGAAGCTAAAAAATTTTAATACCCATGTTTGTCGTTTTCACCGATATTCAAAGTCTTCTCGTATTCGTTTTCTTTAACGAGCAATCTTTTCCACCATTAAATTTCACCGTTCGCAGAAGCATAAAAATCACACTTCAAAAAAAAAAAAAAACCCCAATAAAAATTCCAATTCACCGATATGAACATTCCGTGTAAACATTCTATTCGAAATTCTTCGCTCGGTAAAATCTAGGGAATTTTTAATATTCGATAAAAACAGGTGCTAGTTTCTCGTAAAAAAAATACTGCGAAACGTGTTTCGCAATCTATCCATACGCGCTCACATACTTGCCTCTCTTATTTCGCCCTGTTTAATTATTTCAAAATTATCTTCTAATTTATAACCTATAATGTATATAGAGATAATATAATAATAATAAATAAATCGGGCAAAGAAAATAACTAGTTTTTAAACGGTGTTTAATTCAAACGAAAAAGGAGAAAAATATCTATGATATTCGATGCTAACCTGTTACAAAGTAGAGAAGAGACGTATACATTTACCAGTTTCACTGGGCACCGACTATACTTAGGACAGACTATACGTATATACGTGCTATACATCGGTTCTGTTAATGTCGCGCGGAAGCAAGAATCCTTGTACCTGTGCGACGAGTTCCATCTTGAATCGTTCGAAATGGCGGAAGCGCCACGAATAGTATAGAGATAGAAAAGGACGAAAAAAAGGGAATAAAAGGGACCGACACCAAGAATATCTCTCGAACGGTTTGCGTTGTCGGGGTGTGGCGCGATGCTATCAAAAGGTTTAGTTTTCTTAACGTATGATTTTTTTTCAAGTTTTTTTTTAAAATAAAATGTACTTACTTATACGTACCAACAGCAAGTTGGTATCAAGTATCAATCTTTTAATTATCCAATATTTTTTTTCAAACGAAACGTTTTTATCATAAACCTAACCTCTCTCTCGTTTTTAATTAGAGTATTTTTAATAATCTATTTTCTAAATAAAAAGGTCTTAAAAACAGTCTATTTTTAATAGGGTAGATATTGATAGTTTATTATCATCGTATAAATCTCTATGTGAATATTAGGTGATTTTGACATAAATTTTTAATATTTTGTTAAAAAAATTAATTCAAATAATTAGAAGAAATATTGTTCCTATTATTGGTTTCTTTTAATAATTTTCTATTATTATATTTTATATTTATCGTAAATTGTTCGAAGAAAATGTTAAAGTGAGAAAATTGGTCTGCCTCTTGTCTTTCAATATTTTCCTCTTTCACAAGCCATTGGTGAAACCTAATATTTGCGTTAAATGTACCGAAATGTACACATTCTTGACGCCTTCTTTAAAAAGCAAAAACATGAAACAGCACTTGTCAAATTGATCGATACTATCCTTCAAAGTTTATTATTGCGTTCACCGAGATGTGAAAAACGCGCATCAATTTCATGTCAATAAGCAGAGGTCGGCTGCAAAAGTGTAAAAGTTACCTTTACTTTTTCATCCCTGTACGAGGAGTTCATTAATTTTTAAAAACGCAGCGCGGTCAAAAAATAAGAATAAAACGATAAAAATATTATTGTAAAAATAAAATTATCAATGAAATCGCAAAAAAATTCACTTTAATTATACGCTTCGAATGATTTAAATGGAGAAATATTCATTGAAGCAAAAGCCTGATTATCCCGATCGATATTCGAATACTATTTTCCATAATGCACAACGTTGTATAAATTGTGATGAAAATAAATCTTTTCCAAATAACGAGATATAAATAATTTTCTAAAATTATTTTTCATTTTTATGACGCATATAAATTCATAATTTCAACATGTTTTGTTATATTTATTAAAAAAAAAAAAAAATCATACATTCTCAAATTGTATGTACAGATAAATGCATAGATAAGAAAACTGTATCGTTTTCCAAAAACTGTATCCGTTTCCGTGTGCATTGTATCGCAACCAAGTTAACCGCCAAAAAGAGTGATGAAGCGATCCCATGACGCTAATGTTCTTAATTTAAACCGATAAGCGATTTATCGGTTTAAATTAAGAACATTAGCGTCATGGCACTCGAATCGACCGCGCGTAGAACAGCCGATTATATCTCTCTATTTTCTCCGTTAGGTGTGATGTACGGCACTTGACGCAGGGAAGTGCATAAAACCGGAAGCTATATCAGCGACCCTTCGGCCTCGATTCGACGAGTGGTTACAATCGTGTAAAGTGGGTTAGAATACGATAGTCCAGAGAGAGAGAGAGAGAGAGAGAGAGAGAGAGAGAGAGAGAGAGAGAGAGAGAGAGAGA